AGGTTCATTAGGTACACGCGGAGGTACTTACAAATTTTCAGTTTTGCGGTTTTTATGGGCATTTTTTCCCACTCTTTCTCCAAATGTGGCATGAACGTTTGTTGGGTCCATGCGGAGGTACATGCTAACTTGCGATTTCGCATTTTGCGTTTTACAGTTTTTATGGGCGTTTTGAGTTTTTTACAATTACATGTAAGGAAAGCAACTTTTCATGTCCTAAGATAACCTTTCATTAATCATGAATTCACATCTAGAGGACGGGTACTCCAGCTCGACTACTATAAAATAGATTATTTTACTGTTTACAGAGAATATATATTTTATTTCAACATTAAATATTTTCAACTTTATCGGAACCTTAGGGTCTAAACAAACAGTTTTGAGTTTTTTGTTTGTTTGTTTCAGAATTTTCGCAAAAAACTGCGTAAATGTCTATCCGCGCAAAGCCACTCCTAATTCTCAACTAATAAACTAGAGGGAAGGCAGCTAGTTAACAACACCCACCGCCAACTCTTGGGCTACTCTAATCGAATAGTGGGATTTGACTGTCACTCTTACAACACCTTCACGGCCTCAAAGTACGAAGCGCGTTCTAGCGGCAACGGGTCATGATTCATGACCTTCGGATTCAAAATCCTTGCCCGCTAACCACAAGGCCGCGCTCAGCCCCCGGAATAGAGGTCCATGGTTCAGTTATAACAGTCCAAAATTTACAACTGCTGACCGGAAGGAAGGAGAGGCAACAAATCAGCAGCACCCACCGTCTATACGGCTATTAAGCGAATATCGAGATTGACTGTTAGATTTATAACATTGAGACAGCTGAAAGTCCGGAGAATACGTAGCCAGTAGGCCACTTACTCAAAATGCTTTTTTCCCTCCCAAACCTGTGTGCTTCTCTATTTTACTGTGAAATTTAAATTTGAAAAATGAAAATACTCGTGAAATCAAAGCGTTGGATGTTTCAGGTCTACACAAAGGAAATGACAAAAAAGCTGACAGATGTAAAAATTGGTTTATTAATATTAATAGTTTTCTTTTCAACATTTTTGTTTCGTTACCCCTTTGTTTCTAATTTCTGTGGTTGACGGAGGATACACACCGAAACGAGGGGGGGGGTACAAAAAGGCTCGCGTATTTGGCACACGGTTCTTTTGCCCAAATCTCCCCCTCCCCTCCTCTTCTCCTAGATCATTTTAACACACAATTTCAGGCTGAATCGGTGATAGTAAACATAGTGTGTGCTCTAACTATAAAACTACTCCGACTATTCGTACTGTCTCAAAGTTTACAAACCAATGAATTAATATTTTTGAAGCATAATTATGGAAATTTCAGGACAGTTCGTTTTACTTGTGCCAGTTTACTCATTGCCTTATTTTAAACTTCAGTAGTAAGTAGACCACTTAAACCGTTTCTTCATAAACTTCGCTTCTAGATTTTCAAAACGTTATTTGGAGGCGTAAGACTCCAAGATCCCACTCTACTCTCTCCCTCAAAAGAAAAGAAGAAAAAAGCTACAACTTGCGCATTCGGCGCTCGACCCTTTAATGTCCCTCCTCAAGGTAAAAAATCTCATCTCATGCTAATGAAAGAACCCCTTAATACTGGTTGTAAATATCTTTAAACATGTTTAGAAGAATTATTGGCTTATGATGAACATAATAGTCCTGCATAGTCCCCGAAAGTTTTCTGTTTCAAGAGTAAATAAAACCAAAATTAAGAGTAACAAATAATTTTATTTTTTCCTTTTAAAGTTCGTATATCATGCTGTGTTGTAGCCTACAGAGTGCATAATACTTCTCGTGATTCATGGCATGCGCACGATTTTATTGACGTCACGACAGTGCAAATTGCAACGTTAAGCGTCCCTTATGTGGCGTCATTTTAGTGTCTATTGACTGACTGACAGACAACACATTACTGTATAGTGGTGCCAGCGATTAAAACAAGCCCCTTAATTGTGTGATGTTACATATTTTAAACGTGATTAGTAAGGTATGGCCTAGTACTCAGCGTGATGGACTGTGAATCCGAAGATCTATGGTACGTATCTCGTTGTCTCCGCAGTTTTCAACTATGAGTGAGTTATAAGAATGACGGTCGAAAGTTCACTCAATGATTAGAATAGCCTAACAGTTGGCGGTGAGTGCTTCTGGTTAGCTACTTTCCCTCTAGTCTATCAATTTAAAATCAGTGATGGCTAGCGGAATTGCCCTTATGTAGCTCTGTATGGAAACAACGACGTATCATTAAGAATAAAAAAATTAACTTAATTTCACTTGTACTTGGCTGGAGCTCGGTTGAGTTATTCATGATATAACAGTAGACACCAAGTTTACGGTTAAAACATATCCTGTTAATCTACCTTAATTTCTACGGAATTATGGCTTTATATCATAGTTTATAATTTAGTAATAAATTCGGCCGATAATTTTAACGTTTATTATCAGTGATGAGTTGTAATGTTTTCTATGTAACAGCTGGAAAAATCTTGTACAGAATTTAACTAATACAACAACCATACGCATAGGAAACTAGAGAATAACAGTAGAGTACTATTTATATCAGGGGTGAAATTCTCAAAAAAAAAAAAGTAAAGGTAATTCGTTGGGTGAAGTGGACCTTTTTTGAAAAAGAAAAAAAAAATCTACGTGTAAACATAAAAAAAAGACAAAGCAGCTCAAATAAGTTCCGGTACTAGTACCGCCTTAAAAAGTAAGTTCCGGTACTAGTACCGCCTTAGAAAGTAAGTTCCGGTACTAGTACCGCATTAAAAAGTAAGTTCCGGTACTCAGTATCGGCGAGTACCGGCAGAATTTCACCACTAGTTTATATCATGTCAAGCAAATGGAAGATAACAGTCAGATTGTTTCT